AGTGGTTGCGTGGCCAGTCTGGCGCGCCGGTTTACAACCTTTACTGGAATGATTCTCCTGTTTCGATGCCTCCGCTCGAAGGCATTCAGTGTTTGAAAGACTTCTGGGGTTCCGTCTGGAACCGTGAGTGTCCTGATTTTGAGACCATTTTCAGGGCGTTAAATGATGCTATAGCTGATGTTAGGCGCCCCACTCTGGTGTGGGAAGCTCTCTCTGCAGAGGAGTTGGCCAAGGCTTCCAGAGCCTTGGCTGGCACTAGCGAAGGCATTGATGGATGGCGCGGTGACGATCTCCGGTCAGGTTTGGCCAAAACTCCCCGCACATTTTTCAGCCGGTTTGGCTGTCAAGTTTCAGGTCCTTGGACTTGGTTTCAGTCCGCATTTTTTGCTGCCTGCCAATCGTTGGTTTGCTAGTAACTGCAAGGCACTTCAACACACTCTTCGGGAGCTGTGGAGAAGGCACCTTTACGGCAAGTGGGCTTCGAGCTCCAGAATCGACAGCCATTTGGCTGGAAATGTCCCTTACTGTGAGGCTCGCTGTGCGGCTGCTCGCACTCAAGCGACACAGTCTTGTGATCACACTGCTGTGCTTGTGGGTGCTAATGTTTCGATGCGCGGGCAACGGCTTCGTCGCCAAAAGCACAGAGCACCGGCTCCAGTTTTCGTATGCCCTTTCTGTTCTGGGAGCAGACTTGCAGCATGTCGTTTGGTCATGCTCTCAGCGTTGAAGGAGGACGGTAGCAGACCTCTTCAGTGTCCTGAATGTCCGCTTCAGATGCGTTTAGAGTGGCCCAGGAGAAGCCTCCCGATCGCTATGACGTCCAGGTTCTGGCTTGGCAGGTGTTTTGCAGGAGGCGTATCCTGCAAGAAAGATGGCGCTAGCTGTGCCACCTTTAATTTTCTGTAATTTTAATCAAGGTCTTTCTTGATGATTTTGTCTCTTTCGGTTTAGGGCTTTGGTTTAGGATGCCCCGTTTGTGCCCCACTTTCTGTCTGGCGTTGCTCCAGATGTTTTGGGTCGCAGCTTGCTGTTTTGTTGCTAGGGCTTAGGCCCGCTTTAGGCATGCCTTTCCATTCTGCAGCTTCAGTTGCTGAAGTCGAGTACTTGTGCTTGCAAGTCCACTGTTGTGGGCACATGTGTTTGCAGCAGTTTCTGCTGCACCAGCTGGCGGCTGCCCGCCTCAAACTCTGCAGTTTGATGGAGTGGGTGCCTCCGTCAGCTTTTTCTCCTGCTGAAGCACATTGTGCCGGAGTTCTGTCTCACTACCATCACAGTACCATCGCAGACAATAAGAACTACACCACGCCTGCCCATCGGGATCTGCAGGATGGCCCAGAATGTAACCTAATGGTTGCTTTGAGTCTGCAGGATGGTGGAGGTCTTTGGATTGAAGGCCTTGATGGCCAACCGGGTAATGACTATCAGGATATCCAACGCAAGCTGATTCGGGGTGAGCTGCGCGCTTTGAGGGATCTGGCAGTCATGTTTCTAGCACATGCATGTTATCATGCTGGGCAGCCCTGGTGCGACTTTGATTGTTATACCTTCGTAGCGTACACAGTATACGCAACTGGTCCGGGCTTGCCAAGCCTGCGTGCGAAATGCTCGACGACCTGGGTTTCGATCTTCCGGCGGAGCCTGCAGGGGCCATACGAACTCCGCCAATTTTGCTGCCACCCATGCTAGGAGCCTGGGAGGGTTGTCGTTGTGCTGATTCTCGCCTAAGCGCCCCCCCGTTTCTTGGGCCCCGTTCGGGTTTAGTCTTAACCTCCCGATCCCTGGTTATAGAAACCACTAACCCGCGTTGCCATATGGCTGCCTCCTTTTGACCTGCACTGGACATCCACAAGCAGGAATCTCCCACGAGGAGACCGCAGGAGGAGTCTAAGTGAACACCTGGACCGATGCTTTGCCTCTGCATGACATATTCGTGGTGAAGCGAGAGATAATGAATCACTGCATGTACTACATCTGCGTGGAGAATTCTGCATGCCGATGGATACAAGAGGGAATTCAACTGCATAAAGAACGGCATGAAAGAGGGCCCATCGACGCTGTGTGTTTAGACGCAGCACTCTGGATGGGCATGTGTTCTATTTGCATAGCGAATTTGGCGTGGTGATGGATGTGTGAGCGAATTCAACTGCATGGGGAGGACAGCATGAAAGAGGGCGAAGCGACGCTGGATGCCTACATGCAGTGCTCTGGATGGGATGAGCCACACGGTACAACTGCTGAGATGTCACGCTGCATGAGTGAAAGATGCAACGGAAGTCAGCATGTTGTGCCGTGCTGAGTGCTCTTCGAAGAACCTGGATGTCAGTGCGTCCGTGTGTTGGAGCAACACAGCTGAGCAGCCTGCAAATAGTAGGAAAATGCATGAGTGTAGGTATGTCTGCATGTGCAAAGGATGAACCGAGGTTGATGTGCATGTTCTGCTTTCCTCCGGGAAGATGGACCTTAAGGGTCAGAGCTGTTGAGGGCAGTTAATGCACTGTCTGTCGCCAATGTGCGTTTGTCGTACCAGGAGCCTCGCCTAGGCAAGTCCGGGTGTGGGTGCAGGATTCCCCCGCTGTAGAGTTTGTCTGCACCGCCAGCGATTTCTACCTAAAATCTGCTGGCACTCGCTGTTCTGAGCTGCCTCTGCTGCACCCACTTCAAGCTCTGTCCATGCCCAGGTCATCATGGCAGCCTCTTCCAGCGCAGCTTCAGCTCCGGTGCCGGGGCAATCATCCGAGGCACCATCATATGTGAGGCGCAACGTCTGCATTGCAGAAGGAAGTCGTCGTTTGTTTCCAGAGCTTAATCATCAACACTGTTGTTCCCGCTGTCCGCGTGGGACACACACCCGACATTGCGAGCGGAATCAACGGCAGTATCTTCGCCAGAGCGTCACTACCTGTCACTACCTGCCGTATTCGTGGCTGTTGGCGGCAGGCTGGACATACACATACGGTGTGCTGTTCTGAGTGCAAGGGCAGCAAAGGGCGCCATCACTCTGATGGATGTTTTGAAAGACAGCATGACTTTGAGGGGACTTCTGAAACCACAGCTCTTATGGAGACAGGGGGGATAGAGGATCTCAATTCTGGGATGATGTACTTTCCAAAGGCGGGCAAAACCCGTGTTGAAAGCTGGAATGGGACACCGGCAGCATCCTCTCAGAATGCTACAACGAGCATGTTTATACCTCCGGATCAGCAGGAGGCACACGGAACATTTCTGTTCTTCAGGTCGACTCTGACTCGGACCGAGGGGAGGTGGGCGAAAGTCGTGATGCGTCGAGTGCTGGCAACTTTCTGCAAGAGCTGGACTAGTGGACGTCGTTAGTTCGAGCTGCCACAGAGCAGCCGGACCGGAAGGTCTGACCTCCTCGTCATGCATTCGGATCATGCGACGCTCATGAATGAATACTACTACTACCACAACTACTACTACCGGTATCACTCGGGCCAGCGGACAGTCGTCCAGCAATGTAGGAGGCGAGACAACTACAGCCACGGCCTACCATTTACAACTTACTACTTCCACCCTCCTTACTACTTACCATAAGTACAGGCACTGCGACGGCGACATAATGGTGGATTCTTGCGAATATGCCGTTGTCTATGCTATATTTGCTGTTTTGTAGATATATGTATGTCCATATGTTGTTATCGTTGCTCATATTCAGTGTTGTGACAATTGCATGTACTTGACACTGCACTGCACGCTTAGTTGTGTTCTTGTTTTGCATTATTGGTCATCCGCCGGGTTGTTGCGTGGCACCTGCGACTAGCTATGTTCTTGCTTTTGGTTTTGCTGTGGGTGCCCCATACTTGCCCGATTTAGTTGCACCTAGGATCGCTGCCGAAGCAGGACATCAGGAGGTGCTGCAGCAACTCGGCATTTCAAGCAACTGCAGGGTGTCCGGAGCAGAAGGGCAAAGCCCGAGTGTAGTGTAAAGTAGCCAACCATCCTTGAATAGGCCTAACATTCGCAGAAGTTCGAGCTTGATCATGCCGCCTACATGGCAGTGTAGCCCTTGCAGGAGCACTCGGACTTGGAACAGCGACATGTGGTAACATGTGGCCACAAGAATTCGGCTTGTCCGAGTGCATGGCAAAGCCCCGGAATCGAGGCTGTTGCTGGAAGACATGGCAGGGGACGCGCATCCGGATGTCCCTTGCCTCGAATTGAATTGTTACTCACACACCTGCTGATACCTTCCAGTCCAGCAAGTCTGCTCACAATGTGGTCCAGAGCTTGCCCAACACACTTTCCCAACTGGGCTTTGCAACAAGAACCCACCCCCGAAGATTTCAAAATCGTCCTTTTTTAATCTTGTCAGCTCCCCCGGCTCTCGTAGCCAAAGCAAGGCCTTGCACACGGCTTTGACGAAGGGCCGAGTCTCTGACGGCAGAACTCCTTGGCTGCTTGCAGCAGCCGAAGGCCACGTCGCAGGCTGCGAGAGATTGTGGTCAGCCTCCAAGGCCCGAAGGGGTTGAGTCTTGCGTTGTATTGCATAGCCAATGAGATTATATAGGCAAGGCTGGGTTCGGACAGGCTTGCCACAGCTTGGACCTGCCGTCGTCCCGCGATCGCGCTGGCCGAACGGCCCCTTGCCTCTGCATGTTCTGTCGGCGTCCAGAACTGGCTCTTGATCGAAAGACATCGTGTTTCATGCCCGAGGCAATGATCCTAGCTGCCAAAGGCGGCCATCTCGACGTTGCTGAGCTGAAAAGCTGGAGACGCAACAAAACACGAGGAATAGATCATGAGGGGGGGGGGGCGCCGTGGCATCGTACCTTCAGGAGGAGACATCCGTTATTTCCAGTTTTGCTCAACACAGTCCCAGGTGTGTGTCTGGCTCATGCAGTCCGGTTGTTCTCCTGACGATGCTTGACTGCAACTCGAGCTTAGTTGAAGCTAGGCTTAGCACAGGGCTTAGTCAGGTTTGGACATGTGGAAGCATGTTGTTGGCGCTTGGTCACATTTTCGGGTCCACTGTTCGACTGCAGGGGCTCCGCGAGCGGGATGCCTGCAGCTGGACGCCGCTTCATGCTGCCAGCGCCGAGGGCCAGAAGCCGGTCGTGGAGTGGCTCCTAGAGCAAGGTCGGACCATATTGCATTTACGGTATGTAGCGAAGCATCTGACTTAAGCGGCTGACAGGAGGTTACGACGGCAGCTTTACTGCTGCCCATGGTTGTTGCGTGTCAAGTTGTGCCAAAGCACTTAAAGATTCAGAATGGTCACTCTAGTAGCACATGGTTGCGCTGAGAGAGGCTATCTGAGACCCTGAACTGTCGATGGCAGGAGCCGACCTGCGTGCTGTGGACGAAGATGGCCGGACAGCGCGCGAATGGGCAGAGCTACGGCAGCAGGGTGCAACCGAATCCGTGTTGCGCAGAGCTGAAACGGCTTTGACAACAACATAGAACAGATAAGCAATGATGAGCACGTGCATGCTTGTTTCACCCACCATTCTGGATAACATTGACTTGTGCGTCGAAGAAAGCTGATCAGCGAGCAGTGTGAGCAGCTAGCTGCATCCAGAAGTTCCTTGACGGAGCGCTGAACAGGCGGCGACATTCTGGTATTTGGTGGCTGCTCTGGAGCTGCTCCTGCACACAGCTGCTGAGATTTATACCATGCTCTGTGGTCTGTGGCTGCTCCGTGTGCGGGCACGGTCAGATGAATATGCTTCCTTTGACGCACCGCACACATGACCCAAGCCAGCGGATGAGGTAGGACGGCGGCAAGTCCGCTTCGACAGTGGTTTTGACTCGCTTCCAAGGCTTCGACACTCGAGCTCTATTCAGGCGCTGTCAGAGTTCTTTCAGAGGGGACCGGGAAGCCGATAGTCGGAAGCACAGCCTAGCACAGCCTGCAGTGCCTGCCGTCTGCCAGAGCCCAAACGACCCCGCGAGCTCAGATGCTGAGGAAGGACGAAGCAGGACGTGCCCTAAAACCGAAAAGGTTCAGCGAAAAAGAAGGCCGCGAGGCGAGGCATAGCCTCGTCTGGAGGAGAATTGTGCTCTCCGAGCCCCATGACCTCTTTGTCACCGAAAACTCACATAGCAGCGACTCCTGTCCTGAGGCCATGGTTTGCAAAGATGAGATATCCTCGGATATGCATACAAGTGGCATAGACTGCATGCCTGGCGGTTTTCGATCAGAAGGTGCTGGGAACAGGCCAGACGGCGTGGCGACCCTAACTGCGAGAGGGACCCAACAAGGCTCAAGGGGTCCATTCAAATCAACGAAACTTCGGTGATGTCCATCGTCGTCAATGGTGAAAGTACCCGCCAGAATTGCGCGCCCCGTCGGGATGCGGGGGGCAGAGTCTGGGCAGAGACATCAGAGACCAAAGTTGGAGGCTTAACAGTATCTCCAACGAGTGGCAGGGTGACAATTACAGCCTGAGACCGTGTCAATTTCTGAATGAGCTTTGCGTGAAGCAGAGGTCGACAGCCCTCTGTAAACGAAAATGAAAAGCTTATACAGGCTTGATGCCCGGTAAGTTTGCGCTAAGCGGTTGCCAAACTTGCCAGTATCCTTACACCGGCACCTTTGTTGCTCTTGAGATATTCCCATCCCCACGGCAAAATCATAACCTCCACATGAGGAAGCTGCAGCGACAACACGGCTTTACGCAACTCAGCACGTTGCGGACAAGTCACTCTGCTCGGTAGTAGCGCGGACGTCTGAAAGACCTGGGGCCACGACTGCAACTTCACAGACGCATGAAGCTAGCCACTTCTCATGAAAAGTGGACCTATCCGGCCTATCCGTCAAAGCAGACCGATGACTGATAAGGTGTCCGAACTCTAAAGGAATGCAAGCAAAGCGTCACCTGACTTGTTCATGTAGTGTGTAGAAAATGCCAGCCGTCCAGCCAACCAGAAAGCTGGCCGAGAAGATGTCAATGCCTGCCATATTGAACATATTGACTGCCCCAGGCAAGTCGAAGAGCTGCCTCACAATTAACATCTTTAGTTAGAGCAGATGCTTTATTCTGCCAAGTAGATTTCGCCGTGCTGCGGCATTCAAGAAGAAACTTTTCGCATCGAGACGGACTACAACAACTCCTTGCAGGGGAAAGCAGAAACTGCTGGAGCTCCCCTGCTGTGGGCTTGCACACTGCCGACGCACTTTCCAGAACGGTCTTGGATACACTGCTGCAAAACTTCGCATTGTCAGCACACCATAGATGCCATAGAAACGAGAGTTAATGGCATGTTTACGATGGTAGCAAGGCTCGCTGCAGGATAGAATTGCTGGGCGACACTGCGACTGTCGCGAGGCTCCGTTTCTTTCAAGTGCGAGGGCCCGACGCCGGAGAGTCCCATCGAGGTGACAGCACCCGTCCAATACAGCCTGCTGGAGGTGGGCACGGGCTGTCGTTTGGGAAAGCTGAATCCTGTGGCACGTTTGATTGTGTCCCTTTCCTTGTAGGTCGTTCTGCCTTCGTGCCAGGTGGCTGGACAAGCGTTCACACTGCTTCTCCTGTGCCGCTGTCCTACTTTCATCACGAAGAGATTCGTGACATGATGGGCAGCAAACTCATGATAAGAACGCCAAGAACACTTTCATCATGCGCAGCCTCCGCCGCTTGCCGCTTTTGCTTCGAGTTTGCACTTAAGCAAGTATACACGGCTTGCAGGCATGGCATCCGATAGCATACTAAGGGCCATCTTCCATGTGACGATCGCATACGATCGCAAGGGAGTATTGAGGATGAGTCGGCGATCAGATATGGCTTCTGCCTGATGCTATGGTGGGTTCTCACTCCGGGCCCTTGGGCGACGTGCCGGGCATGAGATGGGACGAAACGCGGCAGCGCTATTTCAGCGTGCATCGCAGCAATGCTGAGACGGACGCTTCCTCTTCGGGCCCTGCGGTTCGACGAGACACCGTCCGCGAGGAGCCTGCCATTAAGGAGCTGCCCGTGGATGATGCAGTGATGGCGACCTTGCGTGAAGTAGACTTCAGACGGAAACGTCGGCGTGCAGCCAATGCGAGAGACATGCAGCCAAGCGAGTGCTCCATATGCCTTGAAGCACTGCAACATGGTGAACGCATCCTGGAGCTTCCAAGTTGCAAGCATGTTTTCCATAAGCGCTGCCTGACGCCATGGATGAAGCAAAGAGGGAGCTGTCCCAGCTGCCGGGCTCCGGTTGACGTCGCATTTCAGACTGCACAGGCTGCGGCGATTGCCGACACCAAACAAGGCCTCGACTAATGTCTGGCCTGCCTGCGCCTGTCCCGGAGATGGATCCCTGCAGCTGTTTCAGGCCACGCTGGGCATCTCAATTTGACGAGTCCCAGGCAATCTCCGAAACGTCTGCGGACTGGTCTTCAACGTACAACCGAGCCGAAGCTCTTGCGCAGGGCTGCGCAGCAGATGGTCGCGCTTTACAATAGACTTTCAGGCAGCACGGCGAGACCAAGGCTGAAAAAGTGCCATTGTTCACGGCGTCCGCTGCATGTTGGTGTATCCGATTCTGTACTCTTTCATTCGCAAGTACAAACGTCACTTGCTCCACTCTTACTCCATACTTGGATCGAAAGATGTCGTGGGTAGTGCAGTGCGGCCTGTACACAGTTTCCATAGAGAGGGTAAATGCAGACGACTTCTAATACTGGCTGACGTCTGTCTCTGCATGACGCCTTTGCAAGCTTTCGTGAGATGATGAGCGCGTTATGCATCTGGCAGGAGTTCTTGGGTCAGCACGACACGGTCACGGAGCAAAATTGATCTACAGTAATTGCTCCTGATGATTGGAAATGCATCGTCGCTTGCAACATGTTACCGAGGCGCGTCGCTTTGGTTGAACTCCCGTGCTGAATGGCGGACTTGCTGCAGCTGTGATGCGTCCCGTATGCAGTGGCGCAAGTGCATTGATCCGTGCAGGTTCAGCGGTTCGGCAGACTTTATGTTGGCCGGTCGACTTGATTCCTAAGATTTCTTCAGAATCAGGCACAGTCTCTCCGTGATGCCTTCGGTGAGAGCCGCCTTTGCCGGCCATTGATTTGCCCGCGGAGCAAGCACCTGGGCTTTCTTTCCAACTCGCCTAAACCTCACCTTGAAACTAGAATTGCCTTCATGTTCACCAATCACACACTGCTTGAGTCAGTGCGGATTGCAAGGCACCCGATGCTTTCCCAAGCCGCTTGGTTGCATCGATCCAAGAATCGAAGAATGCGGTCGAAACCGGACTTTGTTTTGGCATCTGGATGTGCAAGCGGCACTCATCCGTGGAGCCTCGACGCAAAAAGGAGAGTTCCGCTCGGTGAGCCCTATTCTGGTAGTGCACGGGATGGCAGAGCAGCCCTACCTTGTCTTTCACTTGCGGCTCTCACAAATGCCTGCACTGCACCAACAAGGTAGGAGCATGCATCCTCTGAGCTGAGCAGCTAAGGTTTATGGCAAGGAGTTGCTGCTCGTTTGCTCGCCGTCAGGTAGGGGCTTCGCTGGCGGGCCAAAACACAGCTGAGGTTTACACAGGACCAGTGGTTGAATATTGTGTCCTGTGTGGGAGGACTGGAACTCGCTAGGGCCAGGTTTCGGAAATCTCCACCATGTGTTCTGCCATGGATGTGCAGGCGAGCGACCTTTGACGGACCCAGATCGGTGGGGCCAGGACGGGCCAGCATCCGCATGCCATCGGGGTGCTTCAGTGACTTTGTTCTTCGGGGCGAATGGATTCTCAGCACAGTATGTCATGCGCATGTTGCGGCGACTCGTCGAAGCTCTTACGGGTCCCACCTGCGCGAGCGCAGAAGCAGAAATTGCATGTCGGGATTCGGAGCGATCGCAAATGGCAGGCAGAGTGAGCAGATGGTACGGTACTTGGAGAGGCAACCGGTTGTCGACCAACATTGCGATCATCCCCGAGAAAGGAGTGACAAACTGTTGCAGGACAGCGACTCTTTGCAGCTGCAGTTCCAGGACTTTGCTGAGCTTCGGTCTTTGTTTAGAGTCACGACGTTGGTGCGTTGGGCTTTGCTCGCCATGTTCTGCTTCCGCAGATTCGCCGAAGATCATAGAATTGCTTTCACATTCAGCATCACTCGGCGAAAAGCCTCTATCACAGCGTATCACTACGTAGCCGAAGGAAGAGCAGCGAATCGCAAGAATCGGTTGTTAAGCCCGAATCGTTGCGGAAGTGATGCTTGCTATGTAGGCCTTCCGTAGAAACTGCTCTGCCCACCTCAATTGTCAAAGTCGTTGCGGTGCTGAGGAACCAGCTACTTTGCCGGCACGTCGCCGAACGAGTCTGCTGGTAGTTGGAGGTGTGGATCCGTTCTTTGACTGGCGTGATCAGAACTGAATGCATGTCAGTTGTCATGCTTCTTGCATCAGCTGCACGGGAGCATGAATCTAGCTAGGCAGATCCAAGTGCAAGAGACTCCAGGTCTCGGGATCGTTCTTCTCCACGGTGCCTCCACCTCGTGTGCCTTGGGTCGAAGATGGTCGAACAAAGGCTCACTCACTCTCTCTCTCTCTCTCTCCGTCCCTCCCTCCCTCTCTCTCTCGCTCTCTCGCTCTCTCTCTCTCTCTCTTTTCTGCCTGTCCCTCTTTAACGTGTCATCCGAAGTGTGATGTCTCGATTGCAGATAGAGTTTCCACTGCTTAGCATCTTTTGTGGCCAGGTTACCTGGAAGCCTAGCTGGGACAAGATTCTCCAGCAGAATCAACCCAACATGCATGACACAAGTCTTTGGCAACCCTAGAAGAGAGGAGAGGTTCTTTTTGGGATGCCACAAGATCCAAGATGAGAGCGTCCTCTGGACTGAGGTTGGGGATGCGTTGATGGAGTCACGCTGGGGCGCTCTGGTGGACTCTTTGACGTGGAAGCCCAACTCTTGCTGCCCTTGGCTTAGTTGAGCCCGCGTGTTGCTGCCAGGCGCGGACAGGCAATCAACAAATCTAAGCAAAGCTACTAACATCTACTAACCTTGCTTACCACCGTGCAAGGGTGAGCTTGAGCCAGCGACTGGTACGTTTGTAGGCACAACATACCTGGCTTGACAATCAGGTCTTCAGAAGCGAGTCATGTTTTCCAAGGCTGGGTTCATGCGGCCGCCACAACGGCAGCGGTATTCCATGTGTGATCCTTGACAGCGTTCGATTGCGCTAAATTGCCTTCCACTCCCGGACTGCTGTCGTGGCAGCTGCGGTTTACTTTTCGAAGATCATGTGCATGTGAACGCGAAGAGCAGTGCTGAAGTGCAGAGGGGTGTGTTTGTGTCTCAGCCAGCACACTCCCACATGATTGGTATACAAATTTGTGTGTGTGTGTGTCTCTATCTCTCTATATTTATATGTATACATATATATATATGTATATATATTATTTATTTATTTATTTTTATAGAGAGAGAGAGATACATGATGATACATGGTTGTATCTGCCTCTACTACTAGTTAGATTGCAAATATCTGGCGCCAGTAGCTACTCAGTAGCTCCCGAGGCTGGCAGCATGCTGCATGGCCGTCTTATTGCTGGCGCAAACTGTAATTCTTGCTGCAGCCGGCAAGAGTGACCTGGCTGAAGCGGGCCGGGTTTAGGGCAAGCACATGCATTGATACTGCTATGAGATGCTATGAGTTTGTTCTTCCCGTCGCTGCGATGGTTGCTACAAGTACAACAGTTGCTTTGTTCCTGCTGCTGTACTGTTACTGGTTCTTTATACTACGATTGTTCCTTTGCTTATCATTATCAGATGTTATCATTGCTGTGGTTGTTACTGTTTGTGCATACGGCTGTTTCTGTTGTTCGTATGGACCGTATGGAGACGCGAGTCAAGTGGACGTCAGACCCTGAGACAGCGATCTTCTTTGCAGGGGACGGCCTGCAAGATGACGACCAGAGCCTGGGGCGGCACAGCACGCATAAATAACTGTGGACGCAAGGTACCGAAAATGCGTACACGCACAAATGCATGTATGTACGTTTATCTGTGCATACCATATATTCATGTTTCTATGTACTCCTATCTATGTGCCTATGTACGAACTGCCTGCCTGTCTGTCCGTATGTACGTATGTATGTATGTATGTATGTATGTATGTACTTATGTATGTACTGTATGTAAACAAGTGTGTATGTATGCATGCAGCAATGTATGTATATACGAACGTGGCACGAGTTGTAAGATTACTACAGGACTGTTTTTGGCCACAAACTCGCGTAGTCGAGGGTTTCCTCCGACCAGTCTGAGCTTTCTGCACTAATTAGAAGCCAGCCCCCATTTAGCGCAACTCGGTTTGCAAATAAATAATGCAAATGATTGCAGCACTTTGACCGCTCTGGCCGTACTTTGATAAATGGTGCGGTCCTGTTGATCGGCTGCGCGAGCTAGGATGGCCATCACATTGATGGATTTCCGCGAGTACCAGGACAACCTGTTCTATGGTGTTCTCGCAGACCAGGAGGCATTGTGGCAAACAGCCCCACGGGGAGTCACAGCTTGACTCCTTGACTTTATGAAGTAACCCTGCAGGGTTTTAGCGCCACCATGCGGCAGGTCCGGAGCCATGTCTGGTTGCGTCCTGAAGGGGACGCCTGGGACTTTGCAGACTTCTTGGAGGCTGGAAATCAGCAGCAGCAGCAGTAGCAGAAGATCGCAGGTACTGCTCTTCCAGTCTTCACCTTTTTCTTGTTGATTCAATGTGCCTGGAGATCCGGTAATATTTAGCTTATTTGCCTAACCGACTGTAGTGGATTCGAAGGGCAAGCATCGCTGAAAAGCTCAATGAATGCAGCTTGCCCCTTGTGCTGAGTTCGGGACCGTACATTCGGGGCAGTGCATGGATTGAGAGGAATCGACGGAAGCAAGTCGCAGCAGCTGGCGCAGGAGTCAGGGCGTGTCCTGGCAGAGAACGGGTTATGCTACCGGTTGCAAATGAGGTGGCGTGGAGGGTCTGCCAATGCTTTCTTAGTTTTGCCGGTCAGACTCCTGGTGTCGTATATCATGCTATGATAGCATCATATGATTGTGTTTAGTCACCGCCATAGTGTGCCAGCAGTCGCTTGTTCAGGAGTGGACGCAGTCATGATATCTGATATCCATAGCAAGAACACTTACACATGGGACGACATAAGACCGTCTTTGCCATGTACAGGAAGCCAATTTATAATGGGAGCCGTAGAAAAGGAAAGCTGCAATTGGTTTCAGGTCGTCGGGGGCATTCGAGCCTCAGCTGCAAGGTTTCTCAAGAAGAAAACCAGCAGA